TGTAAATAGTAGATCTAACTGGAATGACTACGATTAGAACTCTATTAGATTAAGAAAAGTCTACAAGGAATCGAGCTTATGACCTAGTGTGAAACAATTTTGGCTGTTTTATTGAGTTTTGTAGTCAGAGCAAGGTATTTTCAAATGTATCAAAATGCAAAGTTTTATCTTGAAACATTGGCTATAGTTAAAACTAATAATCATTAAAAACTTTTGAAAGTTGTAGTTGTATTTAGTAGTTCAGTCTACTTGAAATTTGAGTATCTTGGAAATGACAATCTCGTTTTCTTTGAATCTTTCAAAAATTTTAATGATTATTAGTTCTATCTAAACGTAACATTTCGGGATAACATTGCTCATTTAGATATGGTCGGAAATGACATATTCTGATAAAAAATATAGCAAAACAGTTATAACTCTTCACCAGTAGGTGATTGGCTCGATTTTTGTTAAGTTTTTCCGTCTCACAGAAATCTTCTCTTAGCAATAATATCACGTTGAACGATGTTCGACAGCTGATCACGTGCCCTTTGTAATATATCTTTTTTCTGTTATAGAAAATATATTTACGATTTTTTTTACCTGACTACTCGTACAATAGATAATTTTTTTGTTTATACGATTTCTTACTTAGTATTGACTAATAAAAGATATTAGGATTTGCGCCATAGATATGGATGTAAATTTGAGATATTTATCTAAAATTAATTTATTTATTAGATCAGAAGAAAAAACTTTGTTGTTATTTGAAGATACTCTGTAGCATAAAATAAACATCGAGAAAATGTTAGGAAAAAAAGAACAACTGAAGTGAGACAAAGAAAAGACTCAAGGTAAAATATTTTATGAAATAATGAAAAACATGTGCTCATCAAATGTCGCAGCTTGATTAATTTTTCTATATGAATATTTTGACAGTAATTGGTCATTTGAATAAAAGACATATAGAACAAAAGAAAGACACACATTAACTATTGAAGAATGAAAAAAATAAATTTCGTATGTATATTACATAGTGTATATTGCAACATAGAAGAAAATGATTAGCTTTAACGTATAACTTATTTAAATATGAACAGTTATTTTAACATGACTTGATAGACGAAAGATTTTCTTTGCTATATGTTAATTTTCTACTAGTAACTAAGCGTTACTCGTCTTTATTAAATAAAAAATAAAATCATTTTTTTTTACTAAAATATTTATTTTCGTATTTATTTCAATACAAAGATTACACTTTTTCTTATACCTAATCAAATTTTCTATATTGCTCAAAAAGATCAACAAGTGTCGAAATAATCGAATGATTAATGATATCAGATAATGTGAAATAATACGTAATATAAAGAAAAAACGTATAAGACCATAGTTCCATTCAACAATACTTAATATAAGTGCTTTTTTTTTCTTCAATTGATAATTCTCAATTTGTATGTATACAAAATGTAGTACCTTATATATCTATATTCCAACTTTCATTCGACAGTTATAAAATCTCTATTTACTTATTTTTCTTTTAATTTTAATATTTCAATGAAAAATACATTGCAATCATCGTAAAAATATGTGTTTTTTTAATAAAAAATATCATATAAGAACATTTGCTCGAGTTATTTGACAAATAAAAGCTACGTAATAGATCAAAAATATCAGTATTACGCCTACGCAATAAAATAGGTAATTCATTTTCACTCACCAATTTTTATTCTTAATATCATTGATAAAATAATATTCTACAAAAACAAATAAATCATATGCATGTTTTTCTATTGAATTCAAATAAAATTCAAATTATTGTCTTATATCCTTCATAGTCTATATATTAAACAATGACAATCATAAACACATGCACGCATACATGCAACCATAAAAAAGAAAAAGAGAAAAAAAAAGAAGTGACAATAAGTGGGAAGAAAAAGAAACTGCTTACACACATAAATCCAACGAACAAGAGAAAAAAACAAAAGAAAAGTTCGATAGTCAAAAGAAAAAAAGTTATGTACAACAAAACAAAAACAAAAAAGACGAGAGTAGACAAGTTTACTGGTATAACGAGCCATAAGACAAAAAAAAAACTCAAAACAGAATGGCAAATCTATTCGACAAAAAAATATCAATGCTTATTTTTTCATGATCACCAAATTGGTGGCGGTGGTTGTGGCTGATGATTGCTATTTTGTTGAACATGTTTTGCTAATTGAGCTGGAGGTCGAAAACGATTTGCGTTCTAACAAAAAAAAAAAAAAAGGCAAAGATTTTTATTTTCTATTTTAATCATCAAAATAAAAAACATCGTTTATACGATATTTCTAAACTTCACTTTCAATAATAGGCAACATATTTTCTTCAGATGAATCAGAATTTACCTTCTTGAGATGCAGCGAGTATTTAGGTAAATAGCATTGAAAAGAGAGAAATCTATAATGGTCACATTTTTTTATTAGTAGACAGAACAAAAGCTGTCATAGATTCAAAAAGATATGGAAATTACAAGCATTTGAAATGAAACGACATATTCTCTTCTAAAAAAATGGAGCTGGATGCACACAATGATAACAGAAAATCAAGTTGGAATATGTATTTTTTAAACAAAGAAAAAAAGATATTAATTGCTATATGGCATGACATATTTAGAAAACGTAACAACGTAGAAGTTCATATGACTCTTCTCTGTAGACACGGTAAAAGCGTTCTTTCTTCCTATCACATATAATTAATGCCTATTATCGTATTTGAATAGTAGAAAGATTTTCTCAATTTAAAAAATTGTTTTTGTTTTTCAAACATCAATCTTTATTTATACCTTTTTCTTTTTTGCTTTAAAAATATTTTCATCCCTTTCAAATAATCCAATAGATCTTCCATTATTATTTGCTTGTTCATTACGTAATGCTGATGCAATACGTTTGGCAGCAATTTTATTTAAATGATGTACATCACGTAGATGCCCAGTTAAATACCGTAATTTAACTGTCGATTGACATGGTGTATGTGGTATACGTTCTTGATGTGGCAAAATAGCATCATAATTACTTAATGGACATGTTACATATGCTGTTTGATTTAAAACTTGTTCATCAGGACGAAATAATATTCTTTGACTACTATTTTCATTTTTCATCATAGCTTTAACTAATTTCATAGCACTTGCACGATTTAATTGATGATATGCAAGAAAATGATCATATAATGCAAAATCTTGTTGTTCAGTTGATGGTGAACATAAACGTATACCATGCATTGGTCCAAGACCAAATACATTATGTTGTGTTAGTGGACATGGTGCTCGAAAAAATGATGGAAGAATTGAAACAATTGATGATTGACTTGCGGAAGAAAATAATGTTGGATGATCTTCAAGATTACCGGATGATACTAAACGTACAATTTGCATTGAAGCGGCATAATTTAAATAATGATATTGTTTAAGATGTTCAAATAATGATATTTGAGATGTTGATCGACGAATACATGGAATATAACGAACTTGATGATGTGACTCGATACCATATGTATTTGTTGATAATGGACAATAGTCACATTTATATGTTTTTAGTTCTCGAACCTGAAATCGAAGATTTATTTAATAATTAAAATGAAAAATTAATAATTACTGTTAAAGAATTATGAGTTTGATTAACATCACTAAAATGACAACTGGAAAATGAAATAAAATTTTTTTAAATGAGTACATATTTATATATATATATATATTTACGTTTCAGGAAGTTCATCATCAACTTCACTATCTTTGGCATCTAGAGATAAGATTAAGGAATTAATCTTTAACTTGTTTTTTTTTTGACTTACTATGGGAGGAAGAATTATTTTGGTTTGAATAGGAAGAATAATCTAAATATATGAAGATAAAATAATTCAGTATAATCATCTTAAAATGAAGCTATTTTTATTCTAGTATGAATTAAAACAATAATACTAGTACAAATCGTGCCCACTCTTTAATAACTATGTCATTCTCAAGGTTTCTATTAATGCTAATGATGTATTAATAGTTCGACAGATTTAACTTCTCGAACAAAATATATTTTTATTTACTTTGTTCTTGTTTCATATTCGATATTGGAAATCGAGATAATTTATTAATTATATCCGATGAATCTAAATTTTGAGAAACACACAATTAAAATATTTCAAATTAATTTTTTTTTTCTAATTTCTTTACTATAGTCAGATGTAGATAGTAAATGTGATGTTTGATCTAATTAGAAAAAAATAAAAAATGCATTAAAAAAAAATATTTTTCTTAATGTGAAAACAAACCTCCAAATGAAGCAAATAAACTATCATCATCAAATTGAATATTATTCATATGTATTGTTGTATCATGTTCACCAATATAATGTCCAATTTTATCCATAACAGGTAAAAATGAAGTTGTTTGTTGAAAACGATTAAGACATGAACGCATATCATCTTGTGTTGATTTTGTTTGTAAATATGCATTTAATTGTCTATTTTGCGTCGTATCATTATCAAATGTTTGATTTAATTTTAAACGTTGTTCAGATATTCTTGTATCAAATGTTGATAATTGTGCTTGTTGTCTTCGTGCATCGTCTAATAAACGTTGAAAGTCAGTTGGAAATTGTTGTTGATGTTCAGCTAAATGTTTTATACAAAGAAATAATTGACAATGCCGACAAATAGTAAATTGAAATGCATCACATTGGGATTGTTGACATAATGATGGAGATGATGAAGCCATTAAAAAAAAAAAAAGAAAACTTTTTCTTTTTTTCGAAGCTTAACCACTAAACACAACAAAATCTAATGAAATGAAATAAATAAACAAAATAGATGCGCTGATGGTGAGATGAATCAAACAAACATATTGATGACATCTAGTCACTGATTACTAGCGGCATCTCGTATTATAGATGACATACTTCGATTGGTTTGAATCTATAGCGAGCAAATGAAAGCCGTTAAAAAATGAAGAACAAAGTTTTTTTTCTTTTTCATTTAAATTAATTGTAATAATGATTGATCGAACATCTCGAATTAAAAATAATTTATCAGAACAATTGAAAATATTTTATGATTATACTAAAGATGTTCAAACAAAGGTGATTAAACCGAATCCTTTACCTACGTACGTTGATTTTTTACAAATAAAAATCAAAGTTAAGATTTTATTTCTTTTTAATAATTCATATAGACCAATATTTCGTGTAAATACTGATATTATTCCTGTTCGAAAATCATTACCAGTGAAAATATTCGATCTTCCACGTTTATCTCCATCAAAAAGTCAATCAGAATTATTAACAAGTGTTTTAAATGTTAAGACGCTTGATTCATCTTCACGAAATTTAGCTGTTGAAACACCTAGTCGAGATTTATCGAAATTATCATTAAGTCTAAACGTAAGTATAAGTATAAACGCAACAAAAGTCACCGATATACCAACAAGCAATCGACAGTAGTTTGATACTGACACGGTTATTTTACTTCTGACCATCATTCTATCTCGTTATATCGATAACTGTTCTCCGACCAGCGTTAGTGCAAACAAATAAGCAATATGAGTTATGGTTTATTATATATCATTGAGCTGTTCAATATCATCAATAATAAACATTGGTACTAGTGATTTATCCAGTTTTTCTCTTCTGGAAGGGCACATCTGATCTTTGGAGAGACGTCACCCTCACGGTGCGTAAAACACTGACTTGAACTTTATGAAAGACAATATTGAGTGATGATGTATTTGTATTCTTAAATTGTCTAAAAATTAATTGAAGATTATTACAACAATGCGAACACTTTAGGTCAAGCATATTAGAAAATAAAAATTCAAAATCATTGAGCTTATACTGCAACAGTTTACTCATCATATATTGTTCTAAGTTTTCAAAACAAACTAAACTTTGATTCAGATGCGATCACGATTCGGTATTACGATAAAGAAAACTATCAACTAATATACAAGAATTAGTACTTGAATTACTTTGAAGAGAACTATTTATTAGAAAACAATCTGTTTTGAGTTCAAATTCAATTCAGTTTATTTCAATTATCGCTATGGTTTTTTTTTTTAAATAACAGATTGAATACAATAAATTGAATTTTTCATATTCAGAATTTCAATGAAACAACACCAAAAAGTGAACCAACATCAGTTATTAAAAAATCTCAAACATCCATCTCATCTTTTATTAATAAATATGAATCAAATACAACATTTTCTTCTATCAATAAGACACAATCATTTAATAAACCACAATTAATAAAAACATCACCATCTGCTTCAAAAATATCTGAACCATCATCTTCATTAACATGCCCATTATGTACACAATCGTATGATTTAATATCTCATCGACCAATTAGTGAAAATTCTTGTGGTCATACAATGTGTTTACAATGTTTTATATATAAAAATAATCAAAACGGTTGTATTCAATGTGAAAAAATAAAAAAAGAAGATTCTTTATCAATAAAAAAATCTACAAATGATGATTTTGATGATTTCGATCAAAATCAATTATTTGATGAATGGAATGAACAAGAATCTACAATACAAAATGATAGTAAGCAATTGGATTTAGATTTTATGAATTCAATTTATGATGATGATACTGACGATGGTGATAGTGAAGATGAAAATCAAATTGATAATAAACAACATGTATATAAAGTTCAATGGTTATCTGATATAAAAGATGATGCTGCTGAATTTTCAAGTGATCACACATATCCACATACAGCATCAATGTTAAAAATATTCGACAGTACATTTGGTTTAAAACAAGTAAAAAATTATTTCGAAAAAAAAAACATTTTATTTATCAAAGTAATTTTTATTTAGTTTCGTCCGAATCAATTAGAAGCAGTCAATGCTGCATTATTAAATTATGATTGTTTTGTACTCATGCCAACTGGTTAATAACAAAAAATAAATAAAAAAAATTCTTTTATTTATATATATATATGTATTTTAGGTGGAGGAAAATCATTATGTTATCAATTACCGGCTGTAATAGATAAAGGTGTAACATTTGTTATATCACCATTACGTTCACTTATATTTGATCAAAAACAAAAATTAACATCATTAGGCATACTTTGTGGAGCATTAACAGGTGATGTATCACAACGAGAAGGAGATGAAGTTTATCGAGAACTTTATAAACATACACCTGGATTAAAAATTGTTTATATAACACCAGAAAAAATTGCTAAAAGTGTAAGATATGTTTGTTATTTAGTACAAAAAAAAAACAAATTAATTTTTGTTTTATAGGATCAATTAACTCAATTATTGAGAAATTTATATGAACGAAAACTTTTATCTAGATTTGTTATTGATGAATGTCACTGTGTGTCCGAATGGGGTTAGTATTGTTTTTCAATATTGGGATTTGCATTTTTTTGTGTTATTTTTAGGTCATGACTTTCGTCCAGATTATGCAACTCTTGGTAACAATTTTACTTTTTTTTTTTTCATTAAAAAATATTGTCGCACATTGAATTCGTTTTGAATTATTTCTAAATTGAACTGAAAATAAACTCGTTGAATGCAGACATACAATAGTGAAAACGATAGGCACATGAATTTAAATTTATCTCGTAGGTCTTGGCTCTTGATAGTGGTACTTGAAAGTATGTGTCTAATTTAGAGTATCGTGACAGTAACTGCAAGCGTCATGATAGAATACTCTTCAGTGTATACTAAATTACATTCAATTGAGTTTAGTTTATAGTTACATAAATTAAATAGGATCATCTCATTTCGTTTTTTGTGCGAAACAAACAAACAAGATAGATCTCGGTGAATAGAGTAAGTATTGTTCTAGACTTAAAACTCCAAAATGCTTTTTTCTAGAAGATATCGTAGTTGCTATAGACTTTCAATCTCTCAGCTGCAATACGTCTGATAGAGTTATAATCCGTTGCTACAGATACTAGACACTACTTTCGGTTTCCTCGTTTTTTTCATTGCTTTGTGTCTTTCATTCTAATAAAAAGTTCAAAATACTGTGTATATCCCCGAAAACGCATGTCTTTTTTAACTGAAGCTTTTTTGATAAATTCTGACACATACTAGAGATACATCATATTTAAAAACAAAGTAGGGAACCTAAACAGTTTCAGCTCGATTGAATGCTATGTGATTAATTTTGATATTTATTCGCCATCTTTTCCAGTTTTGCGACTAAAGAAAAAATGGTAAGTTTAAAATTTTCGATCGAGAAAGGAAAGGAGTCTCCTTGAATTACCCTTTATCATGATAACTGCTGCTCTACTTGTTAGCTTAAAAGTCAATACATTCTGCAATTACTCATTCCTGTCGTATATTTTTGAAATATACAATGCCGGAAAGTTCGCTTGAACTTTGAATTATCACATAGTATAGAGCATCATTTTTAAATGACTAATATTACGTTCATCTTAACAGAAAAAAGACAAAACTATCTTTTATAATTTTCGAATATAAATTAATTGATTTACTTTTTATAGGTCAATTACGTATTAATTATCCAGGTATAAAAGTAATTTTATTAACAGCTACAGCTACACCACGTGTTCAACAAGATATTTTACAACAAATGCATATTAATATAAATCAATGTAAATTATTTATTCAATCATTTAATCGTTCAAATTTAATCTATGAATGTACATTAAAAGGAACAACAGATACAGCATTAAAAAAGGTAGCTAATTTAATAATTAGTCATTATTCTGAAAAATGTGGAATTGTTTATTGTTTTTCACGTGCTGAATGTGATAAAACAGGTATTTCAACTCTTGTTATTTGCTATAAAATTTTTAAAGAAACTTTTTTTTTCTAAGCAAAATATTTATCAGCATATAAAATAAAAGCATTACCTTATCATGCTGGATTAAGTGATTCAAAACGACAACTTGTACAAAGTCAATGGGCAAGTGATGATTGTCAAGTAAAGAAAAATTTCATATCTGTACTTGAAAGATTAGGTTTTTTTCATTAGGTTATTTGTGCAACCATTGCTTTTGGAATGGGTATTGATAAACCAAATGTTCGTTTTGTTATTCATCTTTCCATGCCAAAATCTATTGAAGTTTGTTTTGAAATTTCTTTAATTCTTGATGAGAAAAAAAAAAGTCTTTCTTTTTAGGGATATTATCAAGAATCAGGTCGAGCTGGACGTGATGGTGATGTATCTTATTGCTATTTATTTTTTTGTTATCAAGATTTAGTTAAAATGAAACGACTTATTCTCAGTAAATAATTATTTAATATGTTTACTTTAATATTGTCTATTTATTTTAGATGATGATACACAAACATCAACAAAAGGAGCAAAAAAAGTTCGTATTGATAATCTTAATCGTGTTTATAATTATTGTTTAAATAATGTTACTTGTCGGCGAACACAGTAAAATAAATAAATAAATAAATTCTTTTGTTTATTTAATTATTTTTAGATTACTTGAATATTTTGGTGAATTATTTCCATCAAGTGAATGTAAACAAATGAAACGAACTGTATGTGATAATTGTCGACAAGTATTAAAAACAACAATAGTTGATTGTACACAAATGAGTATTGATATAATTAAAATGATATCAGAATTTTCACATAAAAATGTAACATTACCATATGCTTTGGACATACTTCGTGGTGCGAATACAAAAGGTATTCGTGATGCTGGACATAATAATTTAGCTGCTTATAGTTCATGTAATCAATTAAATAAAACTGGTAAGTTAATGGCAGAAAGAAAAACTTTCAATTTTTGATATAGTTATAAAATCATTTAATCCAAATATGAATATGAGAAGTGAGTATTAGAATTCAAAATGAACAAAGCTGAAATCGATTAAAGTGATAATTTCAGATTATGTTTTAGTAGAATGTAGAGTAAAGATTTGTTCAGAACCTTTATAAAAAAAATATTTGACACAATTTCTAATATCGACAGGGTGTCCCAAAAACTCCGTTCGAAAAGTTTACCTGCAAAAATGTTAAGTAGTTCGAGCAATTTATGTTTTTTATAAATAATATTATGAAATTCTCTTTTGGAAGTTTTGTTCTGTATATTTTTACATAAATATTTGTGCTTATAAACATTAGAATAAAAGTAATTTTGTTAACGGTTAAATTTGAGGTTGTCTTTTTTTCAAATGAAATCTCTTTACATATTAAATGGTTCATTGATAAATATAATGCAAAAATCTATGTGTATAAGATGTATGTAAAGATTTAGTTGAATTAAAAACTAGAACTGATAACGGAAATAAATTAATTTGAAAATAAACTATCTTCAGTATTTTTTAAGATTTCAAAAAGGATCGATTTATCTATTTCAGTTCAAATAAAACTTAAACAAACATACTATCATATTGCTAAAAAAAATGCAATTAAACCATTTGAACTGCTTAAGAGTTATTCACGTAAACTTTTCAGGCGGATATTTGATGCGTCCTGCATATATATGGATGAGGGAATTTTCAATCATCGATTTTTAAGAAAAATTTCCATTAGAATATTGTTTGTTTGAATCTCTGATATGAAAAGAAAAGCTAAAAGTTGCTAAAATTGACATTCTATCAACACTGGTCAGAAGACTGAGAAATATTTACAAAAAATTCTGAAGTTTCTGCGGATGAATTATCGTAATAGTAATTTATCCATTGACATTGTTCTATACATTCTAATATGTGTTCTTACATCAAAATCAATTGAACATGTCTTTTTTTTTAGATCTTGAACGTCTAATGTGTCGTTTAATAATTGATGGATATCTTCAACAAGAAATTGTTACACATCAACAACAATCTTTCGAAGCTTCAGTTGCTTATTTACGTTTAGGTCCTAAAGCACATATTGCTTTATCAAATCAATCAAATAAATTTATGAATCCAATTGAATTAACTATACGTACTGAACAATCAAATATAACAAATGATGANTTCTGTGATGTGGGTGCTTTCGCTATCACCCAAAAATATCGCTCCGCAGCGTTATGGCCTCTTCTTTTCAGGACTTCTTCTGTGATAACAAAACTTTGACCCTCAATCACAGGTATTTCTTGATGCCTGAAGTGTTTTGTCGGTACTGTGATATATGGCAGAATTCTCAAGCTTTTTGCTCTCGCTCTCTCAGCAATTCCTCTGTGATTCGAATACTTTCGCTGTCACTCTAAGCCATTTCGTGGATATGCGGAAGATTTCCGTGAGTAGTGTGCTACATTAATCTCTTTTCTTAATTTTGGGTGCGAGTGGTTGTGGGGGTTCTCTTTACTTACACCCATACCTTGAATATCTAACATATGCCGCAACAAAGATTCTACTATTACTTTGCTGTTTAGTTTATTTAATTGGAAATGTAAACAGGAAACGATTTTTGTTAGAATATCAAGTTGTTATTGATATGAACAGAATTATAAAATATCATCTTAATCGCTGATCGTACAAACACAAAAAAGATTTTGTTAGATAATATTCTGGTGTTGTTTAGTGTTTAAATTATTATTGAACTACATAGTTTCACTTAGAAATACGAAACCAATAGAATAATACCAAGAATTTTCCAAATGGAAATATTTTTTACAGAACACATTTGCTGATCATAAATAATTCATATTTCTTACTCTATTTTTAAATTTTTCTAAAAATAATATAAGGATTTTAACATAACATATTTATACTAAGGTCATCAACTTAATATTGAATTTATGATGAAGGAAAATATTGATAAAAAAAATATTTACGCTATCAAGCTAATATGCCAAATAGAAAAGCGCTTAACGAAATTGATGGTGCATTATTCTTCGAGAAAAAATTGCTGTGTGCTTCTATATATTGAAATCGAAATTCTCTGATAAACTTCTGGTTTTTTCTTTCGGTAAACCTACTATTTTATGAGATTTGGATTCGATGAAACTAGTATAGTCTATTCATGTTGCTAGTTCGTATATATTTTCAAAGAAATGAGTATATCGATAGTTCCTTTCGATAGTTGACTTTAAAAAAAAAGAATACATGTTCTTTGTTGGGTGTTGAAATAATATGTTTCTTTTTTAATGAATTTTTGCTTAAGTCGTTTTTTTACTAATAAGGATTTATTCATTTAGTATATAATCATTTTTACCTTTTGATAAAAATACATTGAAACAGTTGAGATATCTATTTCAGGTATTATTGATTCCGACTGTGTAAGTGAGAAAATTAAAAATCTCAGAATTCGTATGTTCCACTAAGTGAAGCAAATTCTCTGTACTTTGCATAATAATCAATTATTTTGGTTACTTAACTCAAAAAAGGTATGATTTTTTTTCGAAATATTGAGCGCTATGGTTGCTACAATGATTAGATTTCGTGTGATATAACATTTATCCTATAGAAAAGATTCATGTCTACAAGTGACATCTGCCATAACGGATAATATTATCCGTTCCTTATAGTTGATATATTTCATCAAATAATCTTATTGGATTTTGGTAAAAAATCTATTTTAGCATGGTGCTCAATTGTTATCATTAATTGATAAATAAAAATGAGAACAAATCTATCGAAAACTCTATGAACAAGATCAAGCTTCATTTCAAAGTATCATTTTTTAATCTATTAAAAGTAAGGTTTTATTTATTATATTTCATATTTTTATTCGATATAGACGTAGATCTGAAAATCGTTTTCATATTCTCTTTGTTGAATTAAATTATCGATCCTTAACCCATATGTATCCATGAACGTAAAATTTTAATTAATCTTTGACAAGGAAATTTTACTACTTCTTTTTTTACCAAATATTGATCATAATCAAATTCATTACTAATACTCAAAATGATTATCTAGCAAATATAGAAAAAGAAAACATCACAGAAGATAAACACTAACACATTTGAAATGATCATCAAATACTGATTAGACAAAAGATTTATTCAAACGTAATCCATTATATACTAGTAGTATTCACAAATGTTTACATCAATTATTCTTTGTTCAATATCATTATCATCTATATCTTATTCTATTTATTCAAAATCTTATTGATACGTCTCTATCTTAATTCTTCTCTATTGTATGTTACCCTTTTAATTAGAGTGCATCGATTGAATATAATAATCATTTAATGGATTTCTTTCGATTGTTTGATTGAAAGACAAGGAACTTTTAATCCACTTGACAATAATAGAGGTATTTTTGAGAGTTTATAGAATAGAATAGAATTATATTATTAAATTTCCTACACTTTTTTATTTTATATTTTATTTAATAAGATGATTTTATTCTAGGCATTCAAGACTAAACGTTATCATGTCTAATGTGAACAAAAACTGCATATATAGTACGTAAAATATTCCGTATATTTCTTGCCAAAATTCAAAGTAGTTTACAGAAAAAATCTATTTAACTTGAGAATTACAATTATAATAAAAGATTGACCATTTATCATCATTTCCCTATTGATGACAATCCACAAGTATTATGTAGTTTCTAGAAATAATCAATATTGTTTTTTTAAGTGAAGATAATTTCCGATCACTCTTAGCCTTTTAGCTGCTTCCACTTAAACTCTTATCAAAGAAAAAAAGTTTTACTTTCAATTGTATCCTTCGTGACAACTGATCATTGTTCATTTGTTTTGTACTCATTAGACCATATTTACAGACAAGATTTATCTTGATAAAGGCAATACAATTAACAATGGGAATGTTAGAATAAGATTTTTGTCTATTACTATTGCTTTTTATTGTATTTAGAATAAACCAAATTATCGTTAATGTACAAATGCTCAATGATCATATCATTATAATAAATGCGTCAAAAAAAGTCAATTAAAATCAAGCCTGATTCATGGCCTATTTTAATACACCGAATAGAAACAACCAGACATTTGTGTTTGTCTTCTTTGTTCGATAGAACAAATAAAAAAGAAAAAGTCGAATAATCAATATATTGAATAAAATCATTTTCTCTTTGTTTTAAAATAAGAAAGAAAAGTCGATACATTATTGTAAATGTGAAAAGCATTGTTCTTTTGCTATGCGTTTATTAAGCTTTTAACCTCGAACATGAAGTGTGAATGAATAAAAAAAGTGAACTGTAGACAGTAATCACTTTAAAAAAATCTTTAGAATGAAACTTTAAATGTTTATCTAGTATTATTATTACAGTTTTTATACTGTAGAGATAAATCTTCAAGATTAATACTATCCCTCGAGACTAATGTCTCTATCTATGATATTTTGTTGTATATAAATATATATATATATATCAAGGTTGAATGTTTTACTAGGTAAAAGTCTTTGCGAGTCATGCTGTATTAATATCAGATGTGAAATGTATACCTACTATCGAGAATAGTCGATTTCGTTGAAGCTTAAAAATAATTTAACTGTTTCATTCAATGGCATACTTTGATACGAAGAAAGCGAGATGAATGACCCTTGTGAGACCAATCGAGCGACACACACTCATATACACGCACGTATGCAAATATAGAATGTATGTATAGATGTGCGGTCAGTAACAGTCAATGCATAAATTATTCATTCCGGTGTTCGCACCCTATTGCTTTAATGCTACTACATGTTCATTGTCTGACTTTTTCTCTCGTTCTCATTCTTTTCATGTTGCATGTTCATGATGCGATCAATATTGGAGGGCACGACAATGTATCATTGTTCGTTTTGTTTGTATAGAATCGATCCGATTAGTTGACAGAAGAAAAAACGAAGCCATTCTTGTTGATTATCTGTTTATGCTCGATTGAATTGACGTTTATTACATCGTTTTTTTTTCTTTGTTATATTATAGGTGAGAATGAACGAATATGTTATTTGATATAATACATATTTATTAAGCTTTCTCAATTTAGTTCTATTATTTGTTGAACTATTATTAAGACATTTATTGTTTCTCGTCTGCGTACATTAATGGTCGTTTTTTCTTTCTATTTTTTTTGTCGTCACCGTCTCTTTTTGTTGTGGTAGCTAGTTGCAACAATCTCAACCATTCTATACCTTACGTCGCAAAAAAGAACGAAAATACTCTATTTTCTACCATTCTCACACGCATTTGCACATACATACGTGCATACGGAAGAAAGAAGAGAGAGAAACACGAGAGAAGAGACAAAAAGTAGGTTCGCTTTCTCCGTCGCGTGCTTGTTCTGCATCAACTATATCATCGTTGGTACTTACGGCTCGTCTTGAATTGTCGTCATCATATGTTTTAGTCCTATGTCTTAATATTTGAACTATCGTCAATTATACACTAGCAACTATAATTATGATACGAAAAATTCGTAAAATTTTTCGTTCACCAACAACAGCAACAACAGCGAATAAAAATGAAAACATACATAAGACAAATAATTCTGAATCGACTCTGCAAGATACTTCATGCGTCAAACAAGAATTATCACTTGTTCCAAATCATTTAAATACAGGTAGAAAAAAAAGAATACTTAGATAAACATACATTTTTTTCCCATATATTTGTGTCCATTGAGACTAGACACCCAGGTGAATGTTTTTCTTTACGTTGGTAGGATTCTTTCTTTTGATTTATGGATTATTTGCAATTTCATATGTATTATTTATTTGTTTTGCGGAAAGACATACAACAAGTAGTCGAAGTATTTGCCTAGTGGGAAAAATAGTCTCAAGGTTAAAGCCAATATAATGAAAACTATAAAATATTTTTCTATTTCCATTGATATTTGAACAATATTTTATCAATGTTGATTGATCGAATATAGGTTTTTTTAGAATCATATTGTTCGAATATTAGATACTTTGATCATTTAAAAGTAATGAATAAAATTAGACTTGTGCGCACATCTGGATGCACAAGTCGATTGATGTATGATACTACTATACTTTCATTTGCTATTGCTCTATCTATTCTTCTTTACTTTTACGTATGTATAATATATGTTTGTATGTTCTACGTATAAATGCGTTTTGACATTCTCACAAGACACATGTACAAGGATAGAAATAGTCATACTGTTTCAGTACGATCGAATCGATGATTATGGTGATGATGATGTTAGATATTGATAATTATTAAATGAAATATATTATTCACATTTGACATATGACGCATAGAAATGAAGAAAAAAAAAGAACTGCAAAATTTGTAAGAAAAAAAGCTAGACACATGCATTTTTGCATGCTAGTATCATACGACGAGAGTGTAAACTACAAATAGATACAGAAAAGACGAAGAAAGATGGATTTGTTTGTTTATCAGCTGATGATATCTAAGGACAATTGTGTTAGAGGGTTCTTTTTTTTTCATCAGACATTTTCTTATGTAAAATGAAAGAAAAATAAAAGCTTAAATATATTTTTAAAATAGTTTCTATATCAAATGTTTCAAGAATATGATAAATCTATTCAAGGTAAAATATCTGGAAAAATTTATTTAATTTATATCTCTATTGGAAAATCTTTTTGTTATTATCATATGAATTATTTTCATAGCTATCATTGAATACATATATATATTGATATAATTATTTTTTCAGATTTCTTATTCATTTAGTCTTCTTCATGAAAGATCATGTATTTCCAGACGTTAAACGTATTAAACTTCGTAAGTCTATATGTAAATATGTCTACAAAGTGTAGTCTGAGCATTTGAAGTTGCCTATTTGATATCCGTTTTCACCGTTTTTTTTTTTGTCGTTATATGGATCAAAATCGGATCAATTGACTAGTCAAATGTATATACATGCGGGTTACGATTGATATGTATGATACACTATCATAGCTTCAAGCTACCATACACATAGAATAGAAGAGGCAATTGTCAATAGAAGAAATTTGAGAATCTATACAATAATCTTTTAGATTAACATTGTTTGACAATGTTTATGTTTGTTTTTTGATAGAATACTTTTTAGTGATTGATGAATGAAGACTTTGAAAAAAAAATCTTTTTGATACAAATATATTCGATCAATTTGACAGAAAATTGTGTCATAATTGAGAACACATAGAGTGTATTGAACAAACATACGATCATCGTCGTCATATATTTATAGGAAAAAAAAAAAAAAGAAGAATAAGAAAGGCACAGCGAGGTGACGATGCATGGTAGTTGGAGTGGTTGTATTGATAACCTCTTTCTCACGTCTCTAAAGGCATTCATGACGCATGTATTTAGAAAGAATAAGAAAAGTCAAGCTTCATCTTCCTCGTTTTTTTCCTATTGAGCAGACAAAAAAACTCTAGCATACGTTTTGTCGTTGTTCATCGTGAAGTATAAACAACACGGCATAAAAGAACGAATGAAAGCGAACAATAACAAATCTTAGTATTCTTACTGTTGGTTGCTTGCTCATTTTTTACTAAACAATAATAATTATATAGTTGCGTGTTAGAAGTAAGGAAACGCTGTAAACATATTGTATTCGATGGTCATTTGTTATTATCATTGGTATTTTCTTGCCATAAACATATTGAATGAAGACGCATACACGTAAACGAGCCAGAAAAACTGCATCAGGATCAACACAACGAGGTGAGATTATTTTTCGAGTAAATTTAATCATATAATAAATTTAACAATAATGATCAGAAAATATTGTTCGAAATAAAATTTTATTTTTATTATTCTAAATAAAAGTTTAATCTCTAAAGAATAAAACGACAAATAGGTTCGATTCCTTTCCTTTTTGTTGTTATTGCAAAGTTCAAGCAAATTTTTGCACTCTAGTGAAATCATTATTACTCTAGGACAACATTTGATTTTTTTTTTGTTAGGTATTTGACCAACAAATTTTTGTATGAAACAAAAAAGAATAAACCATATGATATAGCTTTTTTTTCTTTATTTGTTACTTATGCAAGTCATTTAAGTGCACTTTAGTGGTTGGAGAGAACATATTTGTTTCAGTACCCTTTTTTTTTATTGTGATCTTATCTGATCTCCATTTTAATTTTTCATTTGGTTTATGTGTTGTGTACATAAGGATTAACTGTTGATTGAACCCTACACACCTAAATATATCCGATATAGATAAATGTATATAATCATTTCATTTGATTTCTATTAAATAGTACGTATCGCATATCTTTATTATTTCACTTATATATAGCTCTTTTCTTTCAGTTAAAACCTATCTTTTTGTTTTTCTATAATCATAAAACGAAGAAGCAAAAAAAAGAAAGGACATCTTTTTTTTGCATTAACAACAAACATGTTTAAAGCCATGACATCAAGTAAGCCCTGAAGTCAATTTAGATTTTTTTACGTAGAAACGTATTTAAATAAGTAAAGGTTAGACAGATAATTGACTTATAACAGTAGATTGATAGGTTTGTTTTTTTTTATATCTAGAAGTTAAAGTCAACCAGCTGTAAAAAATCGAATAGATGATGACAGATTGAATATACATAGAATGTAGATTAAAAAGTTCTTCTTTTTCTTCTTATAAAATATCAGAAGGTTATTCATTTTTTTTTCTCGTACGGAGTATAGTACGGTTTTTTTTTCTTCGTCAAATTTAAATCTGTGACAATAGTACATTACCTTGAAAACGAATGTTATATCTAATATAATCACTTTAACCGATATGTCACATGAAAAATAATCTATAAAAAAAATCAAATCTAAATAGTGGTAACTTTACGTATAATAGTCTCATTTTGTTTTTCAATTATTTATTATTATTGAAAAATGATGTGGCTGATGTGGATATTTGTAGGCTTTTTTCTTTATTATTTGTGTTATAAACTTTATACTTACATTTGGTACATCATAATAAATATCTACTATCTACAAGCGAGTAAGATTTCCTTTCTTTGCTTCTTTCTTCGTTTTCTTTCATTCTTCCATAACCCAAAAAAAAAAGAAATGTAACGTACACATATACATGCTTGAAGCACAATATCGAGCGCGCGTCCATGTCATAATATGTTTTTGATAGGTGAGTTGCAAAGCACTCACATACACTATATACATGAGCTTCGAAATAGACTGACTCAATTCAATTCTTTGTCGTTGTTGCTGTATGCATGCGTGATAAGGTCGACATTACTTTCGGTCGTTGTACATTGTCTCTCTCTCTCTCTCTCTCTCTTCCTCTAGTTGCCCTTCATTCGTTCTTTGCCGTTCATCATATATGTACATACATATACGTGAGTGAGAGTGCTCATCTCTTTTTCTTTTTTTTTATTCCCTATTGTATAGAATACGAAACAATTAGTATTGGTGAAAAGAGAAAGAAAGCAGGTAGCCAACTTGACCGGAGTCAGTGTTATTGTTGATGGACATGAATCTGGATAAGTTGAAGTTTGGTAAGTTGCGTAAAAGATAGTCTATTATAGATGATCTCGTATGGTGTTGACCATTGATATATCATTCTCTTGTCTGAATAAAAAATAAAGAGTAGAACGAAGAGTATTTGATTACAGAACGATAGTACAATTGTTCTCACTTAACGAATGTGCTCACACGGAATAGAAAGAAGAAAATTGAACAATACTTCTTCATTTTCATATCAGTTGTTTGATTGTAAACTATTCCCTGGGTTTATTTTGTACCCAAGTAATGGCCTGGTTTATCGTCTCTTGATAAGTATGAAGAAAAAGAGCGTCAATATTTTGTCAGTTTTATTCAAATCTATAATTGACCTTCTCTATTTTACTGGAATTGAATAGAGGTTAAGTAAATATTTGTTTTTAATATCTAGAATCACCTAAAACAAATCCAATTCCATCAACAGACGACGTACAATATGCAAAAATGCGTATCATATCTTCACCAGTCTTTCAATTACGTGATATCATACGTGCTCTATTAACATCTTCTTCACCATCATGTGATCTTATTTCAACATTTTTAAGCTATGGTCAATTATTAGGCGCATCATCAATTCATGGTTATCTTGTTGATCGTTGTTATGATACACAAACATTAATAAATGATGAATTTTCTTCTTATCAAGGTGTTGCATTATGTATAACATATGATATTAAATTAAGTGAACAACAATGGGAAGATATATTTGGTATACATGAATCAACATCAATTATATCAAAAACTGCATCATCGTTTTTTCATTTAACAGATTTTTTATGTATATTAAGTGGTTCACGTGTTGTTTATTATGATCCAAATGAACGTATGATAAATGATGAACGTGCTTATGTATCAATATTTGATCTTGAAAATGATGATATTGAAATGTTTCAAGATCAATTTTCTCCATTAGATCATTTTTTATTAAAATCTAAAACATTTTATAATGGTACATTAATACGTTTACCATTACGTACAACATCAACAACACAAATATCAACACAAATACAAACATTAGATGATATTAAACAACAAATATATAAATATTTTCATTTTAATAATTCATTAATTGACTTATTATTATTGCAAACAAATTTAAATACAATTGAGTTTGATTATACAAAAGATTTTCAATTATTTACAAGATTTTTTTCAATTGAAAAACATTCATTAGCAACTATTTATGATACACAATCGAAAACACAAATTATACAATTGACATCATCAAAATTAAATAATGATATCAATACAAGGTTTGTATACGTCATTAAAGAAATATTTTTATTCTATGTCTCTAAGTTTACCTTCAAAAATTGTATGAGAAATAATAAAATATCTATGATCATCGTTATATATCGTAAGAAAAATGACTTTTTGATAGTAATAAAATTGGTTGACAGATTGTTTTGAAATCTATTCGAGAAATAACAAAGTTATAAATTGATAATATTGAAAAAAAAAGAACATACTTTCGAGCACCAGTATTAAGACAAAATTGTTTTCTGATTAAAAACATGTTATTGTAGAAACTGCTACTAGTACTATTCAAAAGTTAAGCTTCATGCAACGATGGATTTAGGATTCTAGCGAAGGAATAACGAATTCTAAACGATATACTCGAGCATATTACAGTTCTCTATGTCATGTTTATAAGAAGCAGTTACGTGTTCACGAACAAATAACTTTGATTAAAATAAAACCATGAGCAATAAAATCGAGAGATCGAGAGATCGAGAAGATCATTAGATTTAGCAAAATTCATCAAGAAAACAATCAATTTTATATCTAGATCTTGATATATACATCATAGCAAATCCATTATGCTTTGTTTTTAATATTGTTGCCGTCTGAACTCAATTGTTTTTGTTTTGTTTGGAAAAATTTAGTCATAGGAGGATATATTTTAGTTTTAGAGTTTTCAGTAAAATATTTAATAGAAAATTAAGATCTTTCTCATAAAATATTCAAAACTTTTCTGTCAATGTTTCGATTGTGGTTATTTAAGTTCCAATTACAGTTTTGTTTTATTTTAGAAATAATTATCAATTAGTGGTATTAATAACTAATCCTCTTTGTGTTTCAAATCAGTAGCTGTTACTCATTAGGGAGATTTATTAAGCATTGGAATCGCATTTTAGCAATTACGGTTGACATCTCTAAGCAGTTTTTGTTTTTGTTTAAATATTATAATTCTTCTGTGCAAATATTGTTTAGAAAGATTATTTAATAGATTTCTTTATTCCTTTTATTCATAAAAAAATGTCAATTGTCGAACTGCGTCGTGCTACTAGATCAATCATTATCATTATCTATTGTTTATAATAATTTTCTTCCTTAATCTGAACATAGACGTATCGCAAGATTTCTATAGATAAATCTGCATTTAACTATACGAACACATCATAATTTTGAAATTCTATTGAATAATCTATGTAACAGAACTTCTGATTATAGAAACGAAATTAGATTCTCAGACATCAACAAAGGACATTCCCCAATGTATTAATTGCTTTTGAGTAGAAACAATGTGCATCACGTAAATCCTAATGGATTATAAATATTTTGAAAAGAGTTCGTGCTGTTAGCTTATTGCTATCATGATACTGCAGTTTTACAATATTTTTTTTTTTAATCAAAGACATGATCGCTGTCAAGGACAATGGAAAAAAAATGATATGCGAATTTTGATTTGAAACTTTACACGAAGAAAGACCTTAATGAGCATATATTATTGTAAAAGTGTAAGATCTTTTCATCGTTCGTTTATTATGATACGGCTATGGTAGAAGCGCATTTTTTGTATCGTTAATATATTACTGATAGGCTTGCTATTCTTATTTCAGTATAGAAACAAATGACAAAGTGTGAAAACTTCATTATAAACTATACTATTTAATAACTAATTTTGTGCAAAATTAAAAGTCGAAATTCGAAAATCAGTTTGGCTGATACACCTGAGGAAAACTATGTTTTTCGAGTATTCATAACTTATTAGGATTTAGATGGTGCACATTATTCCAACTCAAAAGCAATCAGTTAGTTGAAAGACTTCTCTCGTTAGATTTATGAAATTTGTCAAGTTTTGCATGATGATTTGTATCATGTCGACAAATAAACATTGTCGCATTACTGTTTATAACAAAGACAATAGTGAGAACTTCTTCTTGTAAGGTATCATCTTATTCAAACTTTAATTTCAAATAAAAATTCTCTTTAAATTAAATATTATTCTTTCTTAAATCTTAGTGATGTATCTCGTTGGCTTATATCAATTCATAATGATTATAATGAAATCCATAAATTTAAAACCGAATTAAAATTATTACTTCCAATAGTTCCACTTTGTTCACCATCTGAATCATTTGCTTCATTATCAGAATCACATAATTATCAATCAATCCAAATAACATCATCACGAATATTATATTATTGTATATCTCCAACATTAAATTTATTTTCTAAGGATGATATATATACACAATTATCTCAAATAAAATTTCCTGAAGCATATGCTTTATTTCTAAAAGATTTATCAAGATTAATAAATCCAACAACAACATCATCATCATCAAATTTATCAATTGATCTTATTTGGGAATTAATGCCAGATATTGATGAACATCAACGTTTATTTAATGAAAATCAAAAATATTCTATACAACAACAAAAAAATATTCAATTAATTAATAATATTATACCTAGTATATGGGAAGAAATAGGTAAGATATATTTTTCAATAACCATATAAAAATAAATGGAAATTATTCAATATAAAAATAAACACTTTAAATCATTAAAATCAATTTCTTAAGTCGATATAGACGAAAACAATTTGAAAAACATCTTACTATTCTAATTCATCATAAATATTGAATATTTCTTTTTATGTCGTATTTTTATTATTAACATAGTGTTTTATACTTTGTTTGCATCCAAAAAAGATACATATTGAATAAAAACTTTGAAGTATTCTTTAGAATTAAGATGAATATCGTATCGAAATGAATAAACTATTTCTTAAAACATATTCAAGTGACCTTGTCCATCAATAGAATTTCTAAGGATTAACAAAACATTTGTATGACTTCTGTATATTTATCATTCACAAAATAAAAAAAACCTATTCTTAATAGATAGGACTATTTGAAAATTGTTGAAAAACTATGTAGTAAAGTGTATTTTTAAGAATAATTTAAGAGTTCATTTTGAAAGTCCATCATATACGTCAATCACTTTATTAGCATACAGTAAATCTCATTGAGAAATTTAATTTTAATCATGCAAATGAAACATTTACATCATTAGATCCATACTCAATTCTATTTGCTTATCGTTGCGCGAATTCATTTCTTAGATAAATAATTATTTGTCAAACAAAAATTTTCGAATCAATCATGAACTTAAAAGTTTTCTTTTTATTTGGATTGATGATAAAGCATCCTGAGATAACCTACTTTAATTATCTTATTAATATTTATTTCTTGTCATATCAGCTTCACTTTCTCAAAAGAAGCACTTATAATCATTTATTAAACAACCAAACGAAATAGTTTAATATAATACAAATGATAAACACAGAATCCTTATCCTTGAAGGTATATATGTATATATATATTTAGGTAAACAAGAATTATTTTATTCTGTAACTGAAGGTTGGGGTTATGTAGCAATTGAAGACATGATAATTAATAATGTTGAACCAAGTCCAATGCAAGACGTCTTAACATATGTATTTTCAGAAGCAAATGCTCCTATTGTAATATTACCTTTTCATGTAATAAATGGTTTATGTAAATATTCTAATAAACATTATTTAAAAGTCATGACACCATTTCATGCATCAAAATTATTATCAGATAATTCTTCTGTACTTTCAAATTTAACATTTGAACAAAAAATTTTATTATTAAAATATATTATATTAAATGATCCTGATCCAGATTTAGTACTTGAATTAGAATTATTGCCATTAGCTAATGATACATTTACAACATTTCAAACAAAACAAGCATCAATTATATATATTGTTGATAATAATTCTGATTTTTTAAAATTATTTCATACAAAGCAATATGATAGATTTTTAAATCCAAATATCGATCAAAATTTATTTGCTAAGTTATCGTCAAAACGTTTTCAAGGTAATCAAAATCTTGTTTTTCATTCTATTTGATTTGCTCTTGATCATTATTTTTTTTCAATATCTTTTTCTCTCTCTTTCCAACTGTCTGTTGCTACTTTGCCCTTTTTCTTCATCATCAAAGAAAAAAAGAAATTTGAAGGGCGTAATAGAAATGGTCGTAAAGATTTTTTGTTTTTGCTCTAGAGCAGTTATTTCTTCTTCCAACACATTTTTCTTTTCTTTCATGCAGTTTGTGCGTCTCAACAAGTTTGATTTTTTTTTTTTCAAACCACCAGTATACCTAGAAATGAGTTTGTGTGTGTGAAAGAGATTGCGAGAGAAAGTAAAAGAGCATAAAGAAAAGAAAAAAGTGTCTTAGCGGAACAAACCGAACATCGACAACGACCGCAAGTGGTACCATACATACCACAACGACAATAATCGTCACAGCACGTGTATTGTTTCTTTTTTTTTGATTTGGTTAAAAAAAAAGTAAAATGTATCGATCACATTATAATAATGGAATGGCAAATTCTTATGATCAATATTCTGATAATTTTCGAAAATCAATATCGACTTCATTTTTATCACATGAACGAGGTAATAAATAATAGAAGTTTAGGAAGTCTTAAGAGAATATCAATGATTTCATTCTATCGATCGGTTGACAAATAAAGTGATAATGAGAGAAAAGAAAATATTATTCTTTTTTTGACATGTTAATAGAAATGTTCAAGGTAAATTATAGATGTTCGTTTTAGAAGATAAGTAAGACGGTAGCATTTTTTTATTTATTATCCTTAACTGATTATCAAGGTTTAATGCTTACGTATGTTATACAGATGTCGATATAATCTAAGAGCATCAATATTGATTCATTGTAACTGACTAGAAAATAATGATATCAACAATGATTTATCAGTTATAGTAGATTTTTGTCGGAAAATCGAGGTCGTCTCGTTGTAATGAATGCGTGCATTGGGTAAATGAAGAATTGAGGTCAGCTGTATTGTGTAGGAGATTTTTATTCTATCTTATCATTAAACAAGGTCAATGAAACGTACTCAATTGATCATCATCATTATCTATATGTTTGGAAATAAAACAGTAGAGTGTGTGTGAATACAAGGTGAAGAGAGTTTGTTCATATGTGTAGTTCTTCTATCCACATGGTCAATGATTTAATTACTAATCCGTATACAATGATAATTTTTAGTATATTTTAACTTTATTGAAATATATTTCCAGGGTTACAAGGGATTGAAGAAAAAGAATAATAAGAAAAGAGTGAAGCTCTTTAATCTTATCAAGTTCTTTCAGTTTTGAATGATAAGAAGAAAGAAGGAAAGGGATCACATTATGTGAATGACAATAAATCTTTATGTGAATTGTTTAATACAAAATAATGTAGTCGTGTTTGACATTCGTGAACAAGATGAATATAAATACGAATTTTTTCGTTCGTTCAATAACGATCATAGCATGAAACTCATTTTTAATGATTACTTATATTCTGACGTATAGCAAATATCAAAGCACATCAGTACCACTCCTGTGATTTGTCAACTATTATTATTTTTTTCTCTCTTTGCCTCTTTTCTTTTTTTTCCTCTGTCTGTCTCTATCCTCTTTCTCCCTATTGCATTGCACTTCCAGCCCCTTACCAAACCGTCGCAGTTCAGAATTCCACTCATCCGCTGTTGGATGATTGCTATAGTTGGCACTTGAATACATATACTTCGACACTTCTTTTCTTCTATTTTTTTTGCACGTCGCGCGCGCACATACACATACATTAATGTGTGCTTTTTCATAAGATGTCGATGAGTGTTGTCACATCGGATACTTTTGAAAATTGATCTGTCAATACTAACTCGCGACAGTAAAAAAGAAATCACAGCAAACAACGAAGAAAAGAACAGCGGTTTTCAAGATACTATTACAATTATCATTCTTACAAAATAAACAATGCAATACAAGACGATATTGAAGAAGAAGAATATCGAAGTTTGATTTCGACTTTATTTTTATTATACGAAATCAATTAAATACTTTTAAAATCAGATAAACACTTTTTTCTTCTTCTTCTTCAATTCTTATTTAATTGAATGGGTAATATGAATTGTACAGGACATTCTTATTCATCCAAAAATTTCAACACAAATTCTCTAAATGATCATCTTTTATCAACACACATGCATCAACCCAAAGAACAAGCACACTATTCATTATCACTTCCTCATTTGAAATTGAAAGGTAATGCATTTACTATTTTCTATCTCTACCCTTCACTAACAGTCAGGTTCATAAGTGATTTTCAAGAGTTCTTTTTACATCGTTTCTCCACAACCACTTGAATTTGTATACCCACATTCTCTCTAATTGGACTTGATATATATATATACAACAATGAAAAAGAAAGAAATTTAAATTGAACATATATATGTCTTTGATTATATATTACAAAAAAAGAAAGAAACGAATACCTACCTGAAAGAAAAGTGTGATGCAATCTTGATATCAAAGAGAAAAAGAAAGCTTACAGTAGAAATGTGTAATTAAGTGTTCCGAAAGGTAGAAATTCAATAGAAAAATGTATATGTATATATATATATATCTATCACATAGATGTAACTCATGAGTTTATAGATTAAAGATTTTAATGCTAAATTTTTCTCGTATAATTAAGATATCTGTCGAACGTATTCTATCGAGATTCTAAAAAATCTGCATTCCGAGTAGAATCTGTGAGATATATAAAGCACAACAATTACGCGATGAAATGAACGTCCTCGATAACTAATGACTGTTTATCTGAGTAACGGAATATTTAATAAACGTTTGTCAATAAACAGTCATTAATAAATTCATTACCTATTTCTTTGTCCTTTGACAGCTTTCATCCTGACCATTAATTTTCTTTGAATATTATTGGTGTTCGAAATGTGATTATAGAACGTACATGTTCCATGGGAATGAAATAGCATTATCATATCGAATACATTCTGTTTTCCTAAAAAAGAATGAAAGAATCGCAAAATGTTATGAAGAAATATTCAAAAAATATAGAAGAAAAAAACTACGAAAAGCCTTGTCAAAGAAAGGATCATAAAATATGGGAAATACAAAACTTGATTGAATTAGTTTGTTTTTTTGTTCGTCCATATATTGTTTGACGAACTGGTTTTTTTATTTCAATTCAAATCTCGTTCCCTTCTCCTTATCACAAAATGTATATTCCATCCTAAATAGTTTACAGTCAAATTTCAGCACGAAATATTGTGTCGCTCAACAGTCTATACTAATATTAAAAGTTAAAATTTAGGTGTCCACTCAACACATATTTCTCGTAGAAATCTAGAGATACAGATTTCAGGTTGACATCAAAACACAATTAAGATTTGTCACTACCTCTTAAAAAAGAGTCAGATTGTTGATATTCTGTTTCTATAATTTCTCTGAGAGTTTTTATTCTTTAAATTTGAAAAATCAGCATGTTCTATTTCAAATGAAACCATTTTACCTCAAATAAGGAAGACAAAAAAAAATTTTGATTCTATTAACTTCTTAGCAAGTAGCCGTCGTCTCATTTAAAAACATCCCCCGAGCTTTTTTACTTTTCAAATGACCGAGAAAACTTTGACACAAAAACAAATAGAAACAGAAAAATCTAGGTAGAGAAGAAGAACACGAAGTAAATTTTCAGCTTCAACAATGAAGTGTTTTCTCTGGAAGAGTCGTGAGTGTGAGTGATTCGGATTTTAAAGGTTGCGTATTGAGAGAAAAAAATCGTAAACAAAAAACACTTCAACATCAGCACCCACAAAGAGAACCACACACTCAAGTTCACCCACACGCATGCACCCACACCAAAAAACACACAGCAACACCAACAAACACACAGCAACACCACAAACACCTACAAAAGTAGCACTTTTTATCATTCATTCACTTCTTCTACAACAATTATCAAATTTCAATCAAACTTGTCTTGTAAATTATTTTCAAAATCTTCTTTTCTTATTTAGCATATAAAATTGAGTAAAAAAAAAATATTATTTGATTAGATTTAATTTTAATAAAGTGAAGAAAAACTTCGTAAGTATTGATATAGTTTCTCACATTCTTCCAAGTATGTGTTTCAAAGTATTTCTGTAAGTTTGGTTTATTTTCTTTTGTTTTTAATAAAGAATAAGAACAAATATCATATTTTATTAGAATTACTCAATTGTGAGATACAAAAGTACTTCTCAAGTTTGTTTTTATTGTCTAGAAAATTGGTGTTTTCATGATAATAGTCTGAATATAAATATATACTTGCCAAAAATGTGGACTTAGTCAACAGTTTATATCAGTGTAGTGTAAAGTCAGAGCAATATCAATACTATAATCGTAATCAGCAGACAAACCTATATCCGATTATGTTTTCTTAGTAAAATATATTTTTTTTTGCAAAATGTGGACCATCTCAGTGGATGCTCAAGTTTCACTTCTGATTCCTATGCGATGGACTTTTTTTAAGAAATATATTTCACTGAAAAGACATATGATCAGACGTAAGTTTTTCTGTTGATAGCAAATATGAAATTGATTGCACTCTGACATCAAACTATAATGATATGAACTGTTAAGTACTTTCGCTCGCTTGACAAATTAATATTTTTTTTATGTTGTTACTATGAAAACACCAATTGTCTATACAATAAAATAAACTTGACGAGTACTTTTATATCTCACGATTGAATGATTCTAATGCGACATGACATTTGCTCTTATTTTTTTGTCAAAAAACAAAAAAAAAAATAAATCGGTATTACAAATCTGTTCCGAAACATATCCTCGAAAGGATGTATGAACTATTAATACTCGAGAAATTTTGCTTCATTTCACTAACATTAAACCTAATAAAATGACATTTTTCTACTTAGTTTTTCATATCAAACAGAGAAAAGAAAATTTTGAAAATAGTTTACAAAAAGTAAATTTGATTGAAATTTGACAATTTCTGTGTATAGAACGACTGAATGCATGATTCAAAGTATTATAAGCTC